ACTGGAATACTTACTTGTAAGCCAGTAGACACGCCTATGGAAATGAATCACAAGCTTGGAATTTTTTCAAACTAGACTTTAGCGGACATTGGTCAGTATCAATGGTTGGTTGGGAGATTAATTTATTTGACATACACAAGGCCAGATATAGCCTATGTTGTAAGTGTTGTGAGCCAATTCATGCATGCACCAAGTGAAGACCATTTAAATGCAGTGTATTGAATCTTGAGATACTTAAAAGGTACTCCCGGCAGAGCTTTTTTATTTACAAAAAATGGCTCCTCAACAATTGAAGGATACACATATGATAATTGGGCAGGTTGATCAAACGACTAGACGATCCACTTCTAGTTATTTTGCTTTCGTGGAAGGTAACCTGGTCACATGAAAAAGCAAAAGATAAAAGGTTATGGCAAGATCAAGTGCAGAAGTTGAATTTCAAGGAATGGCTCATGGAATATGTGAATTATTATGGATCATGAGTATTTTAAAAGATTTGGGAGTTAAATATGAGAAACCTGTGAGTCTTTATTGTAACAATACAATTGTTATTGAGATTGCACAAAATCCTATACAATATGATTGCATTAAACATGTTTAAGTTGATAGACACTTCATAAAAAAAAAGTTAGATCAAAAGATTATACATTTTTCCTTTATCAAATCTAAAAATCAATTAGCTGACATTCTCATTAAAGTAGTTACTGGAAAGATTCTCTGAACTGACCAACAAGTTAGGCATGATAGACATCTATGCTCAAACTTGAGGAGGAATGCTGATATGAGTTGGAAATTACTAAATTAGTGCTGTAAATTATATATTAAATTACCGTAAATTATTATATTAATTGTTAAATTACTATATTAGTACTATAAATTATTATATTAGTATCACAATTATATAAACTTGATTAGTTAATATTTTTGCATAATAATTTTTATTTATTTTTTTGTGATATAATTATGTCTATATATTAGCTTTGAATAGAGAAGAATAATCATCTCTTAATTATCAACAATCTCTATTGTTTCACAAACACCATAGGCCAATGAGCAACATTTGGCTAATGCAAGCTTTTAATGACCTTCTAATGCACTTGCACCTTGACATTTGCAGCATTGCTTGGGAATAGATAATTGGATAATAGTTTTTTCTCTTGCACCAAAAAAAAGAAAAGAAAAGAAAAAAATATCATTTAGACACCTTTAACTACAAGAGGTTAATCAAATATTCTATATCATAACTTATCATGTGTTAGTATATTTAGTCTTAACATATTCAATTCTTTTTACAAATTAAGTTGACTAGTTGGAGACTGGGGAATAGGAGAAGTTATATTTGTTTATTTATTTATTTATGTATTGTTTATTTTTATGGTTTGAATAGTTATTGGTTTTTAATGATCAATGGCCAACGTCAATTTATTCTGATCCAAGGGTTAAGATTAATCGGAGGTAAATTGCCCGGATGCTTGTTATCTCCCCATCCGCATCTCCCAAAACATCATCCAGCCTACTGGTTCCTCCACTGGTTAGAGTCCTATAAAGGAGGAAGAAGAAAATGGAAAGCAGCGTTGGTGTCAATGGCAGCAACAAGAACCCAAGGAAAGGATTAGAGGGCACCGGCTTAGAACTCCCGGTGAATAACCATGGCAATTTGAAGAGTGCCTCAAGCGATCAAAACCTCCAAGACATTCTCTACCACATCAAGTCTTCCAAAACTCCTGTAAACCAAATTTTCTATTTACCCTTTTTAATCGATTTCTTTTCTTAACTTTTTATTTCGGTGGTGTTGCTGGTTCCGTTTCTGGGTAACCCGAAAATATGAGCATTCTACTCCAATCAAAGGGCAGCAGTCTTAAATTTGAGATATTTTGTTTTTAATTTTGTTTTGAATTTGATGTTTTTGCAGGCAATTATCAACTATGGTGCGTCCTGCTATGTTTCATGCTTAATATTTCTTATTTGAACCCAAATGGCTGTCATATTGTGTTAGTGTCGAGAATAACACGTGTTTGATGGAAAATTTCTGTGAGAGTGATAAGACCCAGTTGTTATTAAGATTAATTAATAGATATAAGCTTAGTTTCTGTTAAACTCAAAATAAATTAGTTAATTGCATTGTAACCCGTTTTTATTTTCTTCTGCTACAGTACAACACAAAGTAGCAATATATGTATTCCTGTAAGCAGCAAAAACAGAATTCTGCTCTCTCTTTGTTTCATTTTTGCTCTTCCTTCTTTTTCTATTATGGTATAAGAGCAATGAACCTTTAACCAACATCTTTAGCTCAGTGATTGAGCTACAAAACATTTGATCTCCAATAGCTAGAGATCAGTTCGATGACCCCCAAAACCCATTCTTCCTTCATAGTGCCAACCATCCCGGTTTAGTTTTGGTGTCCAATCTTCTCAATGGCAACAACTACAACACATGGGAGAGAGCAATCAGGATAGCACTGACCACCAAAAATAAGTTGGGCTACGATCAACCGAGCAACACCGACTCCCATGCCACAGCTTGGTCGCGTTGTAACAGTATGGTGATTTCTTGGTTGCTGAATGCTGTAACAAAGGAGATAGCTGACAGCTTGTTATACCATGAAAGTGCACAATCCATCTGAATCGATTTGCAGCTTCGTTATCAGCAGAGCAATGCACCGCGTATCTATCAACTGAAACAGAGCACGAACAACCTTGCTCATGGGTCACTCAGCATCAACACATACTATACACGAATGAAAACAATTTGGGACGAACTCAAAACTTATCAACTAGCTCCAACCTGTCACTGCGGAAGCATGAAGGCGTGGAATGATTATCAGGAACAAGAGTTTGTCATGACTTTCTTAATGGGATTAAATCCCTCCTATGCTGCTGTTAGAGCCCACATTTTGATGATAGATTGCTCTCCGTCCATTTTGAAAGTCTTCTCGCTGGTGGTGCAGGAAGAGCGTGCCTCGTGCAATCGGCTTCGACATACACGCAGAAACGGGTCAGGGGTCTGGATCTTCTGTTGCCCTAACTCAAGGAAGGAGAAGACTCACCTGTTCACACTGTGGACTTGTGGGCCACACTGTGGACAGGTGTTACTGCCTGCATGGCTACCCACTAGGCCTTAAGCCCAAGCCCAAAATATATTTTAATGATGAACCTGTCCAAGTCCAAAACCAGACCCGCAATGCTTAAGCTATTTTTAATGAGGGGCAAGTCCAAACACAAGCCCAAGCCCGCAACCCCTCAACTATCTCTCGGCCCACTCCTGGAACCAGGTCTTTCAACCCAACTGGCCCCCAATCCAGGCTCGGGTTCTTCTCTGCCAACTAAGCCTTGGCCCATGAAGTTTTTTTTTCCAGAACACACTTCTTCCTCCTCCTCGGGCACGCACCCGATTGCACGACCAGTGCAGAATTTCACCGCCTTCGTCGACGCCTGCTTACCGGCATCTAATTCCGCTACTTTCGTCGATGACTTAATCACATCGCAAATTCAGAACATTATTGATCACTTAAGTGCATGTCTCCACCAACTGAACTACGTCATCTCACCGGACAGCCTATCTCGCTCCACAAATCACGCCACTCCTGATCCTCACACGGCAGGTATATCCTACACACCCTTTTGCCTTTCCAACTTCACACACACACTTACCTCTAAATGCTGGATCATTGACTCTGGAGCCACACATCATATTTGTTGCACACCCACCCTTTTCACAAATCTTAAAAATGTGAAACCCATCCCAGTCACTTTACTAAATGGTAGTTCAGTGTTAGTCAATCAAGTTGGAAGTACACTCCTCACCGACACCCTAACTCTACATGATGTTCTCTTTGTCCCTCAGTTTTCCTTTAATCTTGTTAATGTCAACATGTTGACCACTACCCACAACTGCACAATTAATTTTTCTCTTCATTCTTGTGTCATCCAGGACCGCACTTGGGACTTGTTGATTGGGAATGGTAGACGCATTGGCAACCTCTACTACTTAACTACTACATTTTTTTCTTTTCCTGCTGTTCATTATGTTTCCACTAACTCTAAAAGTAGCCTATGGCACTTTAGAATAGGTCATCCTTCCCATGTAAAACTTCAGTATATTAATGAAGATTTACAAATTTTAAATATTTCTCATTGTAAAATTTGTCATTTGACTAAACAACGTAAATTGTCTTTTGTTTCTAACAATAAATTATCTGACCATCCATTTGATCTAATCCACATCGACATTTGGGGTCCCTTATCTCCACCCACTATCGAAGGATACAAATATTTTCTTACAATTGTTGATGATTATACTCGGACTACTTGGGTGTATCTCCTTTGTCAAAAGTTCGACGTTCTTACCATTTTTCCTGAATTTTATACTCTCATACTTACACAATATAATATTTTCATTAAATCTGTGCGATCTGACAATGCGCACGAGTTGAATTTTTATTCATTTTTCAAGTCAAAAGGTATTATTTCTTATCATTCTTGTGTTGAGACTTCCCAACAAAACTCTGTTGTCGAATGAAAACATCAATATATTTTAAATGTGGCACGTGCTTTACTGTTTCAATCCCATGTTCCCCTTGTGTATTGGGGCGATTGCATCTTGACTGCTGTTTACCTAATCAACCGTACACCTTCCCCCTTGTTATCTAATAAAATTCCATTTGAACTATTAACTCAAAAAAAACCTTCCTATGATCACTTGCGTACCTTTGGTTGTCTATGCTATTGCTCAACTCTCGATAGTCATCACCATAAATTTTCACCTCGTTCTAAGGCTTGTGTCTTCCTTGGTTACCCTTCGGGTTACAAAGGATATAAACTTCTCGACATTGAGAGCAACCAAATTATCATCTCACGTAACGTCATTTTTCATGAACATATCTTTCCGTTTCTTACATCTCACTCACCTGATCCCATTCACAGTGATTTTTTTCATGATCGTGTTTTACCTCTTCCTCTCCATACGTCTACACACTCCTTAGGTTCTCTTGATACACCTGTCCGCTCACAACATGAGTCTTCCCAAACACTATCATCTCGCCCACTATGTATAACACGACCACCTTCTTATTTGTCTGACTATCACTGCTACTATACAGATACACATGCACTTTATCCCATTTCTTCGTTCCTTACTCATACCAAACTTACACCCTAATATCACAACTTTATTTGTGCCATTTCCTCCCACACTGAGCCTGCCAACTTTTATGAGGCTAACCAGTCCGATGTTTGGATGAATGCTATGAACGTGGAGCTACGTGCCTTAGAGAACAATAACACTTGGTCCATTGTTTCCCTCCCTCCTGTGAAGAAACCCGTTGATTGCAAGTGGGTTTACAAAGTTAAATATCAAGCTGATGGGACCGTGGAAAGACACAAAGCCCGTCTAGTTGCTAAGAGCTACACACAATAATTTGGCATAGATTTCCTTGACACCTTCTCTCCTGTTGCCAAATTGATTACTGTCAAGATTTTGCTTCCACTAGCTGCTATCTATGGTTGGCACCTGACTCAGTTGGACGTCACCAACGCTTTCCTTCATGGTGACCTTCACGAAGAAGTTTATATGACTATTCCTCCAGACTATTCTCCTTGAGAGGGGGAGACTCTTCCACAACAACCTGTTTGCCGCCTACACAAGTCAATCTATGGGTTGAGACAGGCTTCTCGACAGAGGTTTCATAAGTTCTAACAAGTATTACTTCAAAAAGGCTTCCATCAATCACAATGTGACCACTCCCTATTTGTCAGGCAACAAGGTAAAGCCTTCCTAGCATTGTTGGTGTATGTCGATGACATTGTTATTGCTAGTAATAATGATCAGACTGTTGAAGAGCTCAAAGCTACATTCAGACAAAAATTCAAAATGAAAGATTTGGGGACTCTCTAATATTTTCTTGGACTTGAAATTGTAAGAAATGACACAGGAATCACCTTATGCCAAAGAAAATATGAGTTGGATCTGTTAACTAAAACTGGATATCTTGGTTGTAAATCCTCATCTATTCCTATGGATCCTAATATCAAGATGTCTAAAGATGATGACGAACTTCTGAGTGATATCACCAGCTATCGGTGACTGATTGAAAAACTGTTGTACTTGACCATCTCTCGCCCTGACATATGCTACTCTGTCAATAGATTGAGTCAGTTTCTGGCTGCTCCTAGAACAAATCACCTTCAAGCTGTTTTACGGATTCTCCAGTATATCAAGAGGACACCTGGACAAGGTCTTTTCTTTCCTTCATCATCTGCCATTCAGATTAAGGCATTTTCTGATGCTGATTGGGCACATGTCCTGACACTAGAAGATCCCTCACTAGTTATTGTGTTTTTCTTAGGTCTTCATTAGTCTCATGGAAATCAAAGAAACAACAAGTCATTTCTCGGTCATCTGCTAAAGATGAGTATCGCTCCATGGCCAACACTATTTACGAAATTGTTTGGATTCTGAAATTGTTACGAGATTTAAGGTGCAACACAAGGTCCTGCATTACTTTACTGTGATAATCAGGCAGCTCTACACATTGCTTCAAATCCAATGTATCATGAAAGAACAAAACACATTGAACTTGACTGTCATTTTGTTCGTGAGAAGATACAAATTGGTACCTTGAAGACGATGCACATATCCACTCGAAATCAACTGGCAGATTTAATGACAAAGGCCCTTCATCCTACGCAATTCGACAATTTGTTGAGCAAGATGGGTACAATAAATTTGTACTTTCCATCTTGAGGGGGAGTATTAAGACTAATTAATAGATATTAAGCTTAGTTTGTGTTAAACTCAAAATAAATTAGTTAACTGCATTGTAACCGTTTTTGTTTTCTTCTGCTACAGTACAACACAAAGTGGCAATATATGTATTCCTATAAGCAGCAAAAACAGAATTCAGAAGGAAAATTTTCTGTCATTCCGCTCTCTCTTTGTTCCATTTTTGCTCTTCCTTCTTTTTCTATTAGTTGTTTAACGTTAGTGCTAGTCTACATACTTCTATATTGAGAATCCGGGTGTGTTAATATTGTCAACAGTTGAATTTTAAGATCAAACTAGCAGTTGTCAAATCGGAATGTGAAGATACTTGTTGTATTGAGAATTTGGGCAATGTTAATATTGTCAAAAATGTAATATGAAGAGGAGACCAGAAGCTGTGAAATCGGAATTGAAGATCTTTGCTAATTTGAGAATCTGGTGAATGTTAATATTGTCAAATTGGAATGTGAAGATGAAACCAGCAGTTGTGAGATTGGAATGTGAAGAGCTTTGTTATATTGAGAATATGGGTGATGTTAGTATTGTCAAATTGGAATATGAATATGAAAAGCAATCTTTGAATTGGAAAGTGAAGATCTTTGTTAGTATGAGAATCTGGGCAATGTTAAATAGCGTCAAATTGGAACGTAAAGATGAAAAGAAAACATTTTAATTTTCATGGTCATCACTTGATGGTTCTATTAACATGAGCCCAATTTTCTGTTTCAGAGGCACAAGAAAGTTACAATCTTGAAGCTCTTCTGAGTTTGTCGCCATTGTTTTCAGGTGCCGAGTTTGTAGCCAAATCCTCCCTGCATTCTGCCAGCTGAGTAACAACTTCCCCAAGCTCTCTTTTGTGTATGCAGATATTGATGAGTGTCCAGAAACTACGCAGCACATTCGTTACACCCCAACCTTTCATTTTTACAGAGATGGCGAAAGGGTGGATGAGATGTTTGGTGCTGGAGAAGAGAGGTTGCACGATCGGCTGTGGCTACATTCTTGAAGGTTGACTATGTTTTGCAGATGTCTCGATGTAAATGCTATTCTAGATCGTGCTTTGGGCTATTGGGAAAGAAATGCGGTTAAAAGTTTTTGTTATATTAACAATTAGGTCAATTTGAGCAGTGTTTATAACTATTGTTAAACTCCACTGGGACAACATGCTCCTTTTTTAAACTCCATGGTTGGGACACATGCATTATTGTTTTGTGTAATCAAAATTTTATTAAAGAAAAGATTTAAGGCAGATGTGTTAGGAATATAAATTTTAAAATATATTATTTCAATTGTCTATAAAATTCTATGTATATAGGATTTTATAGTACTTCCCATTATCTTTCATTGGATTAAAAAGAAAAGAAAGAAATTACACAACATAAAAACAAATAACATGGAAACTATTTGACTTGCACCTTTCACCTTATGGGAAGGTTAATTTCTTTATTCTACCTCAACCTGAATCTAATCAAGTTTTAGGCTTGAGAGGCTTGACAATTTCCCAAGTGAAATCTGGATCATCACGTCCAAAATGACCATATGCAGCAGTTTTCTGATATCTATAATTTCCTCCTCTTTTCAGGTCAAGATTGAGAGCAATCATTCCTGGCCTGAAGTCAAAATTTTCTTTTATCAAGCCTAGAATATCCTTATCTGGTATTTCCCCAGTCTTGTAAGTATCTACGAATACAGACAAAGGTTCCGGCACGCCAATGGCATAAGATACCTGCACAAGGCAACGACGTGCGAGCCCAGAAGCCACCACACTCTTTGCAGCCTGTCTAACAATGTAAGCACCACTTCTATCCACCTTAGTTGGATCCTTCCCTGAGAAAGCTCCTCCACCATGAGCACCCCACCCACCATAAGTATCAATAATGATTTTCCGGCCCGTAAGTCCTGCATCTCCGTGAGGTCCACCGATGACGAAACGACCAGAAGGGTTGAGGTGGAAGATGGTCTTGTCATCAATGTACTTAGTTGGGATAACAGGGTTAATCACACGTTTTTTCAAGTCAGCAGCAATCTGATCATTGTTGACAGTTTCATCATGTTGGGTTGAAATAAGAACGGTGTGAACTCGAATTGGAACCATGGCTCCACCTTCATTCTTATATTCAACCGTGACTTGTGTTTTCCCATCAGGTCTCAACCATGGGCAAGTCTTGTTTTTTCTCACCTCTGTTAACTTAGCACCAAGCTTAGTGGAAAGAACATGAGTTAATGGCATGAGCTCAGGGGTCTCATCTGTGGCATAGCCGAACATGTGACCTTGATCACCAGCTCCAATTTCCTCTGGCTTTTTGGTGAAATGGCCATGAACTCCTCGAGCAATTTCAGGGCTTTGTTCTTCAATATTAACAAGAACCTTACAATTGTCGGCATCGAGACCGACATCGGCTGATGTGAAGCCGATACCTCTGCAAGTGTCGCGAACTATTTTCTCATAGTCAACTTTAGCTTTGGTTGTGATCTCGCCAAACACCATTACCATGTTCGTCTTCGTGCAGGTCTCGCAGGCAACTTTGCTTTCTGGGTCTTGCTCTAGACAGGCATCTAAAACGGAGTCGGACACCTGGTCGCAGAGCTTGTCGGGATGGCCTTCATTGACTGATTCTGATGTGAAGAGGAAGGTTTCCATTTGTACAGTACTGATCAAATCAAGTTTTTATTAAATCAAATTGAAGAGCTGACCCAATTGTAAATGCAAAAAGAGAAAACTTGAATCAGACAAAACGAAGAAAAGAAAAGAGAAGCATGTACATACAGTTTACGTGAGAATCTGATGTAATGAAAATGTGAAGATAAGAATTGGATTTATAAGAGAATGAGAAAGAGAGAGATAAGAATTGTCGTTTGACTCGCTCGTGCTTGCGTTTTCTTGTTTTAGTTCCCGTGCTTTTCGATTTTTAGTGGTTATGTATGGTCTACGTATGGACAAAATTCTCTACTAAATGTATTAATATAATAAACCTAACATTAAAATTACATTTAGTATATATTATATTAATACAATATAAATGATTAAATTATATTAATGAACAGCATATTATAGAAGTCTTATTATATATAAAAAGAAAAACAAAAAAAAAAATAATAATAATAATAATCTTTCGTGACCTCCACCAACTTCGTTTTTGCTCACCTCCACCTCACATAATATTAGAGTAATTAATTAATTTATAATTTATTGCAAATAGAGGAGTAGTTGTATATTTAGTTAAGTTCATAGGGTAGTTATGTAATTAGAGTTTTTCTCTTTTCTCTCTTTGTATAAAACTCATTAACCTCTCGTTTATAAAAACTAATCATATAATTCAGATTTTTTCAAACTTCGACTTCTCCATTTTTCTCTATCTGCTTCTCAAACATTATTCTTACTACTCTTGATTTCCCTTGAATTATTTTTCTATCAATTTTTATTGTAATTATTGTTTTGGTATCAGAATTATAATAATTTTTTCGATTAAATATTAATTTTTAAAATATAAATTTTAAAGTCGACTTTTGACTTATCCTTCAATTCAATTGTTATAAAGTATTCATTAAAAAATTAAAAGAAGCAGTCGTGGGCATTACATCAACTGGTTTAGATTTGTCAAAGCTCAAGGTTCTTGTAAATCCATTTTATCTTCATATGAATGAAAGTTCTTCACTCTAGTTCATTTCAACAATTCTTGCAAATAACAATTTCCGTTCCTAATTAAGGATGATGAAGATGGCATTGATCTCGAAGAATAAACTGAAATTTGTAGATGGTTCTATACCAATTCCAAGTAAAGATGATCCTATCTATGGAGCATGGGAGCAATGCAATACAATAGTAATCTCTTAAATTATGAGATCACTATCACCATTTATATCTCAAAGTGCAATGTGTGGATTGTATGATAAAAGATTTGTATGATAGGTTTCCACAGAATGATATTTTCATAATTTCTTTATCTATAAGAGAAAATTTATTCGTTAAAATAATAAGTCATTATTTTATAAAATATTTTATTTAGATAAAAATTTTGTGGATAAATTATCAAATTTGAGACCGGTACTTTCGTGTGAATGTTCATTACAATATGCATGTAATGTAGCTAATATTAGATTCTTGAAAGGATTAAATCAGTCTTTTAGTGTAGTGAAGTCATAAATTTTGCTTCTCATATTAACATGGTTAGGATTACCAAGGAAGGAATCAAACTAAATGCAAAGCATTTTTATCAAATTGCAACAAGAAGAAACTATATACATCATGCTGTAAATTAATTTCAAAAGTGCTTTTTAATAACACAATATTCACAATTCATAAGAAAATTACAAAAAAAAAATCATATTAGTATTTGGAATAATACCCACTTTTTTCTTGAGGTTTCTTCTTCATTGGACCCCATGAAAAGAAAAATTTTCTTCCTCTTTCACGAATTTCTTTTTCTCAACCTTAAGCTTCTTCTCTAGGGCTTCTCTCTTTCCTCTGGTTCTCATCGTGAGCTCTCCTCTTGAAGCCTTTTTTTTTTTTTTTCCCTCTCTCCATGGCACTTCTTTCTCTTTCTTTTGTTTTTCCTCATTCTACATTTATTATTCTTTATCTACAATGCAATACTCAAAGTACAAAGATATGAAAATAATAATAAAATATGCTGATAATATGTATTTTAAAAAATAAAAATATTACAAATAATAACGATAACAATAGTAACAATAATTACAACAAAAATAATGATAATATAATTTTACAATAATGGATGATTTTAATGCCCAACTATGTACCAATATTGTCATCATTAATATTATTATTAATTTAATTATCATTATCTTATTAC